CGCACGCACGCACGCACGCACGCACGCACGCACGCACGCACGCACGCACGCACGCACGCACGCACGCACACGCACACATGGCTTCTTACCTTCTCCAGGTGTGTGATGTTGATTCCGAAGTGAGTGAGGTGCTTGTCTAGGTAGGGGTCCTCCACCATCTCATCCTCGTCGTACGAGTACACGTCTGTACGCAAAAAACACGCGCGTGAGACGAAGAGCCACCTCATCACCTGTTAGCGACGTTAGGACACTACGCTAAGTCGTTAATCGAGAAAGAGCAGTCCTGTTTTAGCGACATACAGAGAGGAGGGATGGAGAGGCAGAGAGAGCAGTTGAGGCAGTGGGACAGGGAAAGGGGGAGGTTGAGGGAGAGAGGAAGAGGGAGATAGAGAGGAAGAGAGAGATAGAGAGGAAGAGAAGATGGAGGAAGAGAGAGGGGAAGAGTGAGATAGAAAGCGAGAGGGAGAGGTCGAGGAAAAAGGAGATGGAGATGGAAAGGGAGAGAAAGATAGCGATAAATATACACACACACAAGAAGAAACCCTTTCACAGAGCCTCGCAAGTCAACACAGGTCAACCAAACTACGCCAGCATCGAAACTGCCGCCGCCATCAACTTGCAAACGACATTATCACACTACAGTCGCTACGCATCATCACGCCGCCGCCGCCGCTCAGCGTAACCGTGGCGATGGCGTCAACGTACCGGCTCCGCTCGGCGTTACCGTTCCCAGCTTGACGGCTAGGGCGTACTTCGTCGTCTCGTACTGTTCCACGGCGTGATTGTTGCCGCCCGTGCCGTCAAAGTACCTGCGGGCGAGACGCGAGAGATGGCGACGAGGGATAAACGCAGGTCAACTCGTGTCTGAACTCATCGTGAGGGTGTTACTCACTACAGACGGGCGATAAATGCAAGAAAGCTACTGAATCACTTGAAAAGATTAATAGGAAAATATGTTAATTGCTAAAAATATAGGAAACTAGAAAGGGCAGTTGTCGCCAACTTTGGTAGTGCTAGGTAAATCAGGGGCCGAGTTATAGAGCGGAAGGGAAATATGATCAAGGTCAAGGTAAAGGTTAAATAAAGGTCGCAGTAACCTGGTTTTGGTACGCTGCTCACCTTCTCCCCAAGATGTGTAAGTATACCAAATTTGGTAGCACTAGGTCAATTAGGGGCTGAGTTATAAAGCGGAATGGAAATATGATCAAGGTCAGAGTAAAGGTCAAATAAAGGTCGTAGTGACCTGGTTTTGGTAGCACTAGGTCAATTAGGGGCTGAGTTATAAAGCGGAATGGAAATATGATCAAGGTCA